AAAACACCACTTAGACGGTTCATCATCTAGCCTAAATGAAGCTTATGAAAAATTAAATTAAAAAAAGAAGTGATTTATTTATCAGGACTGTTTTTATAACRTTTAGAAATTGTTTAAACCAAATGCCAGTGGCTTTTATGTTTGTCCAAACACAAATTGGGGATACTCAACATGTTGGATTGTCTTGGCCTGATATCCCAGCATGTGTGGTGTTCCCTGAGTACAAATGAGTTCGAAGCCAATGTGATGTGTAGCCAATAAGAAAGCGAGGTGATGGAAACATGGAGGGGAATCCAGAAGACAGAAGAGAGAAGACAACAACTGGAGCAACAAAAGGTCCGATAGACATCGGAGACGTCTTTTGGTTATGTTTGTTGTCTCTGTTAAAAATAGTCCACAAACTATCGCCATTGCTTCGTCCTCATCAGCCATGTTTATTTACTCTGAACTCACATTTGTTCTTGAGAGGTCTCGTGAGATTTCCCGTCTGACATCTGAATGTTCATGAGTAAAATCTGTTTGTGTGCGCTGTGTTGTATTTTCCAGTGGGACTGTACACTGTCGGACCAAACCTGTTAGACCTACGATTTTTTGTTGCCATGCATGGGCTCGCGCAGGTTTTGAAGCTGAAACTTGCAAAAAAAAAAAAAAAAAACTTAGGAAAAAAGAGGATACTTATCTAAAACCCTTTTTTTTAATGTGAGTTGATTGTCTTTCAGATTTATTTCACTTTTATTGTTATGGCAAACGTATGTTTTTCTTTTATTTTGTTGATAACAACAATGAAAATCTACTTCCTTGCAGTGAAAGGTTGGAATATTTCACTGATTTGACAGCACTTCTGATTTTTTTTGTGACCTTCAAATGTTCCTTTGCCATAAAATCAACAAAAGAAAGAGATGTAATTCTTAAGAACAGTGAACAGATATTTTACAGTGGTGGTGGTGGTGGTGGTGKGKGTGTGTGTGTGGGGGGGGGGGCAGTTTTTATGACACATTCTTATCTGACATGTCACCTTGCTTTCTTATTGTTAGTAATCTATAACATAATATTATAGCAAGTATAATCACTAAAAGAAGTGCCAAAAGGGCAGAAAAGCTCAAGGTGGCACGTCGAAGCCCAATGTAACTTCAACACGTCAACACATAAAATATTACCATCATCCTTGCATTTACACAATAAAGCATTGTTACCATAAAATGTGTATCTATCAACAGTGTCATTACAGGCAGCATCTGACATTTAGTTAGGAGTATGCATACTGTCAGAGAATGTTTTTCTCTCATGTTCCATCTATTTTCCACTTTCCTTATCTTTGTTTGTTCCTGAACTGTTTCCTTTTATTCTGAACTGAAAGAACGAGAGATGTCAAAGCTCTTTTTTTGCTTTGTCTCTGTTTCCTTCAATCTTTCAAAGACCAAGATGGAAGCAGAACGCATGCAAACATGAATAAATTGCTGAATGGAACCAATCACAAAATGATATGCTACAATATGCAATGACCAGGTGTGTTGCTATGGTGAAAAAAATGATTGGCCACACTCTAGATTACACTGTTTGCCTTCCAAAACAGCTTGTATACACACGGCAGCAGCAACGCAACACACACATGAGCACACACACACTCACACTCACACACGGCTCTGCTGAAATAGGATGGCTGATTGCAGTAGTTTAGCCGTTAAAGCCATTTGAATGGAAATGTGAAATGGAAGTTCATTACCAACTCCTAGGCATCAAGACCAGCTGTGGAAGAGAGAATGACAGCAAGCCATGAGGGTGTGTTTGTGTGTGTGTGTATTTGACAGTCTCCAGTGAACTGATGGTTTGTGCTTAAATATATTTTCAATCCAAAGCTTAATTTTCTAAAATGAAAAAATATAAAAACCTGTTGAACAAAAGTACAAATGCACAATTCAGTTAGATCTGCATGCCACTCCAGATTCAAATTACAACTAATGCTGCRTTCACACCGAATGCGATTTCAGCTTCAAAATCGCATCCAACGCTTCAAGTTGGTCGCTTGTGCACTTTGAGGTCAGACGCAGGTCAGCTCTTGAAGCGCTCACACGGCAACAGCCTCCCCGCCCCTCCCTCCTCTGTCGGGCTCTGTTTAATGTCGTACGAGGAAGTGGCTTTGCTTTATTTACAGAGAGCAAGAGCATGTCACACTCATCAGATAATTAATTCATAATTAATTCACCAGATATTTCAGAGACATTCTGAGTTTCATCACCCAGGAGCTGAGGGAGAGGCTCACAGCTCGCTTTCAGGACTATTTTTGTCCCGAGTCCAGTCTGATGAGCCGCTGCCACTCATTGGTGCGGATATCTCCTGTCAGGACACCGACTGCAAGCACTCGATTTCAGCTAAAGAGCTCCTCTCCATCTGTTTCAGGTTAGTGGACATCATTCAGTAAACCGTCCCGTCAAGAAATCTGTCACTACGTCACACAGTGGAGTCTCTCTGATTGGTTGACGCGGCGCGTCGAGCTGCAAAAGTTCAGATTTTCTAACTTCAGCAATTTGCGCATCAAGCACGTCGAACGCTCAGATCGTTCAAATCGCGCTGCTCTAAACATGCTTGAGGCRCCGCAGCACTTCCCGACGCTGCTTGAAGCGCGTCCACCATAGACTCTGCATGTAAACCTGATGCTCCTGATGCTGAAATTGCGTTCGGTGTGAACGCACCATAAGGCATTTATGTTAGTTCCATTTTTACCTAACGCGTGTTTTATTTCCATTTTATTGTTGTCTAATAAATGCTTAGCAAACCTTATCTCCTGTTATAATAAATGCAAACAGAAAGTATTTCTGGGATTTTAAACCGCTTGTTCCGCTTGTACATTGTACACTCAAAGGCCACTTTATTAAGTACACTTGTTCAACTACTCGTTTCCATAAATAGCTAAACGGCCAATCATATGCAACAACTCAGTGCCTTTTTGCAAGTTGACTTGGTGAAGGTGACTCGCTGAAGCTCAAACCTGGCATCAGAAAAGTGAAGAAAAGAGGGTTTAAAAGACTTTGAATGTGGCATGTTTGTTAGTGCCAGATGAGCTGATCTGAGTACGTAGTTCTGAATCTGCTGATCCACTGGGATTTTCACCACTCACCAGGTCTGCATTTGTATTTACAGTTTTTTTTTCAATAAACTGTAAACTGTGTTTGTGATTCAGCTCGCAATTTTCTGTTATTATTTGTTCAATAACAGCTACATCATGTTATTTACTTTTGACGTAAAMTACATTATGTACAGTAGATATTTTTAGAAGACATTACTTTTCAGAAAAGATGGAAAGGTGGGATGAAATAGGGGTTTGAAGAAGTGTGGATATGTGGTGGGGGGGTCATGGTGCTGACTAATAAGCATTAAGACACCCACACCACCCTTTGGTCAAACACAGTAGCCAGAAGCAGCAAAAAGATGATGATGAAAAGAGTTCATGAGCGCGCGCGTGTGTGTGTGTGTGTGTGTGTGTGTGTGTGTGTGTGTGTGTGTGTGTGTGTGTGTGTGTGCTAGTGAGTGTTTAAGAGTGCACATGGTAACTAGAATAAACTGTATCTCTGTCATCATTGTGTCCAAAGAATTGGATGAACATTACTACTTCCTCTGAGGCATTTAGGAAAATGTTTTTTTTTTGGATGAGATGGACAAATGTTTGTCTGCTCTGAGTCATTTCACTRTCACTCTGGTGCTAAAAAGTTCTAACAAAATTAATTTCTTGCAGTGGTGGGCAGCACTAATCTAAAACTTAGCTGCACTAACACAAATATTTATATCCCCTTATTCCAGAGTTGTAAAGTAACTAAGTACAAATACTTTGTTACTGTACTTAAGTAGAATTTTTGGGTATCTGTACTTGAGTAATTTTTTTCATCCAACTTTTTACTTACATGTTCACACAATTATGTGTAGAAAGTTGTTACTTTTATTTCATTTTTGCTTTTTTTCATTCCAGATTGTTATTGTAAATAAATACCATCCATATAAATTGTGGCTCCTAGATAGAGTGAATTTAACTGTGGTTGAATGAGAAGTACAAATATATAAAATTCTGATACTGTATTAGTTTGTACACAAACAAATTATGTCACACTCCAGCAGGACATAATCATTAAAACAAAAGGACTGTACTTAAGAAGTATTTATATTTCATGAATTATATTATTACATTTGGCCGCAGCCCTCAGATAGATTTTCGTTTTGGAGAAAAGCTTTGGGCAGCCTTGATATTTGTGTATAAACTTTAACAGCTAGACTAGTGCATCCTAAATTTAACATAAATTAATTATTTTAATACAGTAGTCATTTCTGCACTTTTTTCCTAATAAATGTCCTTACAGAAAATCTAACTGCTCATTTTAAATCAATACTTTTACTTTTAATACTTTAGTACAAAACATATCAGAAACTTTAAGACTTTTACACAAGTAATATTCTTAAAGGAGACTAACATTTACCAAAGTAATTTTTGGGTAAGATACTTGTACTTTTACTCAGGTATCACTTTGTGGTACTTTATACAACACTGCCTAATTCTAAAATACTAACGCACTGAAAAATTTAGCAAAAGCTAATTCTAAAGCACTAATATAACCCAGTTGACCCAAGGAACCTTCTTCAGAGTCAATATGAGACAATTCATTTCTGTGTGCAGAATACTGTCAATATGCCACTTGTGGATAAGTGACATGCATATGAACAAAATTTGTGACAGCTTTCACCTTCTGTTACCAATAATATTGACCAATAACATTTAAAGACCTCACTCAGTGCTTCTATATTTAACCCTTAAATTTAGCAAGTGCTAATCCACTAATAAATAGAATAGCAAAAGCCCTAAAGCACTAATAGGAAGTTAGTTCCCCTATAGAGCTTTAGTGCTTTAGGGGAACTGTGCCCACCTCTGCTTTCTTGTATAGAAGTGTTCTTACTTTTTACCACAGGTCAAATCACTTCTGTATTAAAAGCCACATTGTTCCTCTGTCTTTCTGTAGAGACTKGTAGAGGCTGCAGAAGAAGCCCACCTTCAGCACGAAGAGGATCCAGACCTACAGGTGATTCTCCCTTTTTCTTTAAACCCTCCCCCCACTCAAACATAATTTTAATAAACATGTTCATGCCTTGTTCTTAAAAGCGTATTAATTAATTTGTTTCAAGTCTGCACAAGTGAATGCCTCCAATATTAATTCTCAGTAAAAGATAAAGACCCAGCAGATGGCGGGCCTCTGTAAACACAGGAGCTGTCAGACAGAACAAAAAGGCATTAGGAAATCTTTAGTTTGACTTAAATTAACTATTTTTTTCTTTTAAACCATACACTGGTGCAGAACCCTTCATAATCATTGATGCACGTAAGTCTCAGTCTGTTACTTTCAGCTAATTACAGTCCCTCTGTAAATAGCTTACTGAATAAGATTGTGTATACTGTTTCCAAACTCATGAGCTCTGTTAGGGATATTTCTTCCATTCTTTTCTCTTTCTTTGCATTGTTGGATTTTTTTCTTTTTAGCTGATATACGTTGACTTTAGTTATTGTAAAATAACAAATTCATTGAATGCAAACAATACAATATAAAAAGGAAATTGTGTGATCTAAGGGAATATAGGAGGAAATTATTTTTCTTCAGTTATAAATCATAATGTTCAGATTTATTAATTGGCCTTAATCTATTAGAAAACAAACATATTTTATGTTCAGTAGAAGTGGGCAGATTCTCACGTACAAAGTCAATACCTTCTATAAATGTTTGCAATTYGTAAATTAAACCCTTATCTTTTTTGCCAGTATTGTATTTTGCTTCTGCATCATTTATCCCCACTCCACAGAAAAAACACAGCTTAACATAACACCTGCTGCTCTTACGCACCAGTATAACAAATCTATGCATACTGTTTACAAAAATGAGGAAACTGATTTCCCCAACTAGATTTTCCTAAACTTATTTTCTTGTAAGATTGATGCAAACATGATTTAATGTCTTTTTTCTCTCTCTCTCCTCAAGATGAGATCAATATTTTAAAGTTGAGACTGAATCCAGCTTTTCTCTCTTTCCAGAGCAAAGCTCAAGTGCATCATCAGTCAAACATAATGTAGATGTTTGTTTGGGTRCTGTTATCTAATTTATAAAAAGAAATAAAGCAGTTTTATATGTTGCTTTGCCTCATTGCGACACAGTTTGTGATAGGTACATTTTTAGCTCAAACAACTAAATGATGAATTTGTGCTGGTAATGTATCACTGTCGTATTTTCATTCTCTACATTCTAAAATATTCACAAGAAGTTCCTCCCTCTGTTCTGCAGATTTGGGCAAATGCCTTCTGCTAATCACATCTGCATACACACCCCCAAACCAAGCTATTGCCTTCATGGTTCTGTCTCAAATCCATTTTAACAGCTTTAATTTTCGAGAGTGCAGCTTTGCATCTTAGATGTGTGTGTTTGTGTGCGTTTAGGCATCCAAGTGTGAGACAAAATAGCAGAATTTGTACATAATTTGTGTGCATTTAATTTTTTTTTGTCTGACTTTGCTAAAACTCAAGCACATTTTAAATGTTTGTTAAAGTAGGAGGAGCGGCAGCAGAAACTTGCGTTCTGAAGAGCAAACTTGATGCTAAGTCGACTTGGAAGTATTTGCTACTAAACCACTTAGAGAGTTTGTGGCGTGTGTGCTCCAACTCATGCATGTTTACTCTGTCAGTTCTTCAAGGTATTACAGTCATATCTTGTGGTTTTCAGCCATTGCTGCTTATTAAGAAGGATCAGTTACTAAATGTACCACTGTCTGCCTTCTGAATGTTTTTTTTCATATATGCGTGCCATACTGTAAATCATGCTAGTACTTTTGGAACATCTGCTTGACTCTTTACTCTGAAAAAAAAAAAAAAAAACATCCACAGTTGATGAAACAAGTTATCTGAAAGGTTTCTTGTGGCACTTGAGACACTTGAGCTATTATTATTTGTTTGCACATTTAGCTGCAAAATATTGGCTTTTATGAATTGGTACATAAAATGTAGATCATATGCACTGTAACAACTTATTATCTGGTCTTATTGTAATGTGTTTGTATGTCCTGCAGCTGCTGTACTTCCGCCTGCAACTGTATTTTGTTTAACAATGACTGAAATAAGTCATCAAAAGAAAAAAAATCTACAGTGTTCCACCATCACTGTGTAAAACAATTAAATAAACGCAGTGCAAAAAGAAAAKGATTTGATTTATACAGAATTTGAAGGAAACTGTGTAAAAGTAAAAAAAAAATGGAGTAAAACAAAGACTGGGAAATGGGGGAAATCAATAAAAAGAGTTTCTCAGAAAGAAGCTCAGTACAGTTTTTTTTAATTCAAAATTTTCTGACGGTGAACACAACGTGAAGCGAAACTAAAAGTAATTCAGACAAGAAACCCACAGCTTATTAAGCTGCCTGATAATCTACAGACACTTTTTGCTCAAACTTAAAGACAAATAGCAGCAGAGATCAGCAAATCTGTCCCACAGAACAGCTGTTCCACTGTTTCCAGGTGTAGATTTGTRTGGACCTGGTTATGGGTTTGAGTTATTTAGTGTTATTTTGTCATTGCGATAAAAAAATGTTAAACTTTAAATAATGTTCAACAATATTTAATAATGATAAACTTTTAAAAGTGTTAAATTAAAATTAAATGTACACATTTTTTCTTCAAAACCTTCAAAAATGTGCACTAACAACCAAAACAGAGGCAATTGTAATGTGAGATCTATAACAAATTAAAAGTTATGACATCATAACATTGAAGAGGTGTCCCACATTGTCCCTCATGAACATCATTTTGTTTCATWTGTGGGTTTTTGGGATGTGGTCAAATGCAGGGCAGGTGAGTGAGGTGGAAGCCAAAGGTAACTGAGGGAAACAATAGCCAGCGACACGAGCCAAACAAGATGAAAACACACTGAACACAAGGAAAATGTTTTAAGAAAAACAGAACTGAAAGACTAAACACACACACACAAAAAAAGCGAAAACAAAATTGACAAATAAAAGCAACAACTGAAGCAGCTTTCTGCATGACCTCTGCAAATGTATTAAGTGTTTTTATAAATAAGAAGAAAAATAGCTTTCTTGTTGCTAAGACTGCTTTGAAGGACATTCTAATTTGCCTTTACTTTGCAGAAATATGTCACTTCATTTACACCTATTTTCTTGAATTTACTGTCAGAAATCAGAGAGAAACTAAAAAGAAAAGTGTTTTAATCTTGGTTTATTGTCACAGATTGTTAATGGGTATTATTTTTTAAATAAAAGTACAAAATACCAAAAAGGTCACCACAGTGTTTTATTACATTAAACTTAGCAAATATTCTGTAAAATGAGTGATGATTAAAAAGCCCAGCCGTAGCCGTAGCTTGCAGGACAATTTACACCACTTTGCATAATCTAAGGATATCTTTTAGTAATTTACTAATKTTCAGCTAAAAAAAGTTTTAACAACAGAAAAGCGATCTCGCACACATATGTTTTTTATAAATTGTGATAATATTTATGAATAGAACACATATCATAACAAGGAGAGAGTGAAACAGTTTTCATGAAAACTGTAATTGAAATGTTGCACTGGTGTGGTATTCTGCTCTGCAAAATCAGACAAGAAAGAAAAGGAAAAAAAAGCAAGGAGAGATGGTTAACAGTGGAGAACATAAACATGCAATCACAGCCATTAGTATCAGGAGCTTGTTGGAATGGCATGTGACCACTAATAGCAATTGCTTTGATAATAGCTTCCAGTTAGGAGGTTCTGCATCCCATTTGTTGGTTTGGGTAAAAACAATAAATAATGGCATGGTCCACATCAAACCTAAGTTTTGTCATTAGACTTACTCATCTGAGCACACAGAAAACAAAACAATTTGAAAAAAAAATATATATATTATATGGCAAAGCATCTTTACAACTTGTCAGAATAATAATGTTCGAATGCATTGATCTCATTCTTACTTTTTTAATCACTTATAACAAAAGCAATAAAAGAACATGCTAAACCTATTAAGGGTAACAATTCATAAGCATTCCCTGATTACCATTTGGCCCAAAAACATTAATTTACTGTGTTTCATCACACAGCTTTTAAATTTAACAAGCAAAACTTTTAACTCAATCTTTAACTGACAGACAAATTTAGCAAATCAAACAAACAAAATAAGGTTATATTTCATCTCTGATTTTTCTTAAATTATGGAAGTGTTTGTAAAAAAAAGAGTCTTAATATTGCCATAATTCTTTTCTGCAATTCAAAATTCAAGAATTTTTGGGATTTGACAATCACCTTTCAGCAGCTCTTTACTTTGCTTACTTTACAGTCTATTTCAATCTGCCTCTCATTAAGTTGGAAGTCAGGGAGTGACAGACACCACACCAGTGTGGGATTACCATGGTGACCATTCCAGCTGTAATGTTTTTGATTTTGGTTCTCTCCATGCAGTTTCTACAGTTCATACATGAAWATTGACAGAATTCGCAAGTRGGCTCWAAAAGTAACAAAAAGGCTTTAATATAACTGAAAAAGGCTGGCAAAGCAGCTCAAAACTCGCTTGGTGCAGGGGAAAAACTCAGTGCACACAGACAGAACAGGAAACACAGTGATCCAACAAACACTGATGACAAGACTCAGAATATAAAGGCAAATAAATTAAGAGACAATGCGAAACACCWGGGGAGACRCACGACAAACAGGTGAGCAARGGCGGGGCTAGAGGAATGACAGCAGGGGAGAAACACAGGGAAACACTGAAAACTAAGGAAARTAAAMACAGATTATGACAGAAATGTAGACTTTGTCCCCATTTTACAACGTTTTTTTTGGAATCTTGTTGCCTTTTTCAACATTCTTTTTCCAAAAACTATATAGTTAAGTTTTCAAATATTGTACATGTCTAGAGTATTTTTTTTGTCCAAGCCAACTTCTTCACCATGATTGTCCAGTTTAATACTTTTTTTCTATGGGAATGTATTCAATGAAAAGTTTTCAGTATGTCTCGACAAACTGTGATTCAGGTGTCATTTATTTTATTCACTGTAT